ATTTTATTTATTTATTTATTTATTTATTTATTTATTTATTTATTTATTTATTTATTTATTTATTTCACAAGTTTATTGACCACTAGGGGCACATTTAGTTACATTTACGGGCTCTCTATTCTACATGAATTTCTAAAGTTCTCATATCATCCCAGGTCTATTTAATGTACTGTTTCCTCCCCTGGTATTTACATGGTACAGCCCCTATATCTGTTATGATCACGAGAGAGGTAATGTGAGCTAATGAGCGATATTAAACCAGCAGGAGTCAAGGGGGGAGATGTATGCCTCAAGTCCAGAGGAGAGAAAAGTTCAGGAATTCCTGGAGTAAATAAGGTACAGGGATCCACCTTCACAGCTAGAGCTATGATCTAACACAAAGTGGATCATCATTTTCTAGTTATTGAATATAATCTCTACACATTTTTAGAAGACTACATAGACAAACATAACTTACTTGAAATGAAATTTAGGTTTTATGTTTTCAGTTGGTGACCCTTGTTTTCTATTTTATGCTGTATGCGCATCAGAGTTATTTATTAAAAATGTTATTGAATTACAATAAACATAAGTAACTGAATTGCGTATAAATGTTTCCTTTCAAAATCAACAAAGGCGCATGAAAAAGAATTGATTCAAGACCTATCCTGTGACATTTGCTCAACAGATTTTAGGTACGGTAATAAATTTCTTACGTAAATACCTTTTAGCTAGCAATTTATGGGGCCAAATTTTGGGAGTACTCTTATAAAAGCACTTACAAACACATTTATCATATTAGTTAATTTTATTACCATTATACTTAGAGTAGTTCATACTATTTTGTAATCACGATTTTGTGTAGAACATTAAAGAGGCATCATTTAATTTATGAAAGTACTTGTTTTAGAAAAAATAAGGTAGAAAGATGTTTCACTGTTCAGATGTATGCCATTGAAAATTTTTCTGTTAATGGGGCATTATGAAGTAGATGCAAAATAATTTTTTAAGCAAAAGATTCATTACTAGAAAAGGTTTTTGGTCTGATATTTATGCTTTGACTTTTAGATATGAGTATGCCTTGTAAAGAAAGCACGTCATTCCTTTCACCTGACTCAAACTTCATATCAGGGGCCAGTTCTACAAAAATAAAAATAAAATTACACTGAATGTTGGTTTTATATGTAGACGAACATTTTGGTCTACTTTTTGATTACATCATAAATGTGTAGTATTCCATATAAATACAATAAGTGTCAGTCTAAAACAACTGTTTCTTGTATTTATATATATATATATATATATATATATATATATATATATATGTATATATGTATGAACATATATAGCAGGCACTGTATTTTAATTAGACTACTACTGATTATCTTGGGTCAGGAATGAACTAAGATTTTTTAGTCTAAAGGTTTAGACCAGCTTTCGGACTAAAGTTATTTTTTGAAACCGTCCCCCCTTGCCACACAAATCTGCTCTGCTATGGTGCCCTTTATGGTCCCTGTAATGTCTCGATGTATTGATATTTCACCAAGGAACCGTATTATTCTCCTTAGAAATGCTTCTTTGCCTTGATGGATGAGTGTGGCGAGAATATTACGGTGCTTTCCAGGCTCCAGTTGGTGGCTCCAGTTGGTATTATCTTGGTTGTTGTCTGTGCTGGTGTTCCACAGCGCTAATCTGCAGCTCTCTAGCCTGCATCTGTTGTCTACGATCATTTTCTCCAGTTGTTGTTTTCAGTTAACTGTCTTGTATACTCTTCATTTACATTTACTTAAACAAATAGGGCATTTTTGTGGGCAATATTAAATAAATGTGTTATTAACACATTAAACTGAATAATAGAATTTTTCCTTTCCATTTGGCTTCTTTGTGTAACTGTTTGTTTCACTTTTCAAATGTCAGGTCACAGTCTTCAGTAGTAAAATTGTTCTGGTGTCAAATAAAAAAAAAAATCAAAGTGTAGAAATTATATCATGAATATTAGAAATAGGGTGTGCTGGCAACTGCAGTAGGTTTACCTGACAGTGTGAAATAATTTGTCCAACAAGAGTTGACATTTGCATGACACTAGCTGGCTTTAATTTATCGGAATGCCTGAATAAAAAAAGGTTTAAGAGCTTGTTTTAAAGAGTAGTTCGTATCAGGTTTCTTTACTTTCTGCTTTATCTCCTCCACTAGGCTTTTATTCAGCTTTTATAAACCCAGCTTCAACAATCCTTAAACTTATTAGGGAGTTAATAAATTAAGTAAAGAAAAAGCTCATGAATAGAAAAGATGGGAAGAATATCGATGGGCATGAAGAAATGCTGCAAAATTGGAATGAAAATGTATGCGCGAATCAATTTTCTCCTAATCCAGACTAAGAACCAAAATATTTGCTGGTCTTTTTCATCTAGTTTGTGGTTAGATTTTGTTGACATAAACCATGATAATAAACAGAGAACAAGGCTCAGAGGTAGGCGGGGTCTGCTTACTACGCCCCAGTTTAGAGATGTACACAAGTGAATGGGAGGCTGACTTGAGGCTATGGTTGACTCACATGTACCAATGCTGCCTGATGAATGTGGATATCAGCTTGAGCTGGTGTAAAATATCAGGATGTATGACACGAAGAAGTGAAATTTCTCATATATTGATAAAAAGTCACATATTCAGCATCGTCAAAGTGGGACATATATTAAAGCATTTGACAAAGAAGAAGTGCAACATTGTGGTATTTAACATGGAAGAAGTGGGGCAAATAAATATATGACATACAAGTAGTGGAACATATATTGTAGTATTGTAAACAGATTGTTAGTAGTGTCTTGAAGTTGGTTTCACATTCATCATGCCGCTCTCTTCAGGACAAAGAGACAAGGAAGGCAGTAAAGGTACTCAGTAAGATCTGTGATGAACAGAGAGAGATGATTTACTTGTGCTTGGTAGAGGAAGCAGATGTAGTGTTATAATGTGTTACATTCTTTCTCATACCTGCTCAAAGGCAGTTTTCTTTTAATAATAATAATAATAATAATAGCTGTTATATTAATAATAATAATTTACAATTATTAACTTTGGCGGAGTTCAGTATTTTTTCAGACATCAGAAAGGAATATCAATCAAGGAACATGGAAATTTTATAATGATAATTATTAATTAAATTATGCTTAATTTCATAATAATCAAATAACTTGATAGTGTTGTCACGGAGTCCTGTCTACAGTATAACATTACCATATCATACCCAATTTCTTTAACTTATATCGTGTGGGTTGGTTCTAAAAGAACATCTAGCAGGCATGTGCACCTTGATAACACATGATGAGCTATACTATATGTCAGACATGTACTCCTTATGATAAGTCAGGTGCAGAATATGGGTCCCTAGTTATCGGGATATTTTTGGGTGCACATTTATCATAAACATGCACGCTTGGATATTTTCTGTGGATTTGTTTTTAAATGTAAAGGTCCTTCACCTCTTGCTTTAGCATGGATGAATTTTGTTTTAAGGTACAGGTCAAGTTTAAATGATTAAACAAGACAGTATAATTCTTATATTGAAGAGCCTGCATTTAATATATATCCATGCTTATTCAAATCATTCTGATGTATAATTAAAAAATGGCTGCTGCCTCTCTTCCTTAAACACTAATCCATATTGAATTTTTTTTCACCTTAGGTCATCTAAGTTCAAAGGCTTGAAATAACTGTCAAAGTTGCAATTTTTTTTTTACTCTAGAGTGATGGATGGTGTGGAAATGTGGACCCAGGTGTGTCTTTTCCCCTGGTTTTCATGGTCAAGGATTACAAAGATTTCAACATCAGTGAAGGGCCACAGATTATCTTTTTTATAAATATTTTTCATTAAAAAACTGCACCAGAACTTGTACTGGCAGACAATATTTTGCACTTTTGAAATCTAAAATTTCCTCTTTTCTTTCTATCCAGCCAGTTCCTATGTAGCATTGACACTATTAGGCCGACCCCCGGGCCAGACCAACAAACCCCTAGATCCCCCCACCCCCAGCCTCCGGAGCGGGTCCATGACAGAGAAGCCAGGGACACCTGAGAGGGTTCATGTGACTGGGCCACAGCCTGTAGATGTGAGTATATGGCCAGGATCGTTTCTTCTAGTAGAGATGGCAGTTTTGTCTGTATTTTGTAGATTACATTTTATACTTTCATTGGACTCAATACAATCAGTGGTCAAGAATGAATTACCCAGAATGTTCAACCAAAATGGCAAAAAAATCAGCCCATTTTGGTTGAACATTCTTGGTAATACATTCTTTTTATTATCTATATATTTGGGGAAAGTTTTTATAGTTTCATATACAGTAGACTATTCTTGACAAGAATTTTGTTTGAAATATGCAAAGAACCCATTGAGATGGTGTATTTCATGATTTCATGAGATGGGATATTGTTGATATGATAGAGGCATAAGATGAAGACCACCCTTCACATAATTTCTCAATGAATAGTGCATCTATCTCTCAAAAACTCCCAGACTCTGTGGAATAGGTTTTTCATTTCCCCATGTTTAGAGGTGGTTAAAAAATACCTTGATAGTTTCTTTGATGAAGGGTCTTAACTTGATTACTCACTGGTAAGAACATGTGAAGTCTCTTTATTGAAAGCTATATATCTTTTTACCAATACTTAGACCAGTTCTTAAGCGATTAGGTGAAGTGTTGACTTTCTCAATAACCCCCCATGCACATGTTTTGTATGATTTTATGCATGATCTAACATGGGAATATCCAGGTACATCACTCAAAGAACTTCCTCATTCCAAACTCTCGTGTTGTCTGAGAATATTTTCCTGATTAATATTAGCTGAGTAACATTGTGTGGTTTTTTTTTTTTTTTTTTTTTTTTAAATTTATTATTATTTTGCAAGTAAGAAAAAAAAATGATAAGAATAATTGACAACTCAATGCTACACTCATTGTGACTTAACTTATTTTGAACAAGTTTTAAAAGTTCAAAAAGTGAAAAACAACCTTTTTTGCGTGTTGGGAAAAAATAAAACAACATTATTTATTAATGACTAAGAAAGTTGAATAAACATTTGACAAGAACATCTAGTCAGGCCACAGGTATGGTGAGGTCTGGTATGTTAACATTTACAACTGCACATGTGCATCCTCATATATTGATCATGATAAAGCACGCCACTGGTATTATACAGTGAGAATACATCAGTTACACTGAGAAGGGGTTGTTTTTGGGAGTGTGGCTGGAAAATATTCCAGATTTTCATGGCACTGTTGACGGCTTTGGAGTACCTATCCATCATCAGTCACTTGAGCACCAGTCTGTAGTTTTTATATATGTACGATACTTTTTACACCAAACTCTTCGTGCATTAATTTAAAGGAGAATAGAACATTGCATTTAAGCCATTTGCCATTGAGACATTTGCGCAGCCTGTCAGAAGAAGGTGGAAGGTTTAATAAAGATTAAATTCCACATGGACACCTAATATCTGCCTCCTGATGTCTTCAAGGGTACTTAAGAAACTGTACACAAACATGGTGTTTAATATGTTGTGTTTAAGTGTTATGTGTTATTTTAGATCAGCAGCAGAATTCGCCTGTTGGTATGTTTTCTACTTCTCAGCATTCCTTTTTTTATTCATTATAGCATCATGATTCTAACCATTCAGTATGTGTGACCCGTGGAAAATATGTTGTTTTGTAAAGCCAGTAGATGTTTGATTAAGCTTTATTGGTGTATATTTACACTTGCGTAGATATTTGTATTATATGTATATATATGTCATGTTTTCCAATGGGAACGTGTAACGGGTCACAACATTCATAGCCAGGATCATGGTGCTATTTGCTCTGTCTGTCTTATGTACCAGAATTTTCACTTTTATTTCTGCCAATTTATAATAAAAATAATCGTCACAAGTTCTGTTGTAAGAGTTACTTAAAGCAACACTCATTGAACAAAGTTTGCTTTGAAAATACTTGAATACTTGTTTTACCAAATAGTAAAATTGTATTTATTATCAAGCATATTCTGTGTAATTGTTAACAATATGGTTCAGTAAGTCACAATTTCCTCGTCTCACCTGTCACAATGTTATCACTTTCCTACCTACCCTGTCACATCTACCACACTCAGCTGCCACTCCAAGCTGGGGGCCTGGTTCACAGAATGTGATAAGTTTTATAGCCTATCTTAAGCCAAAGACTTATCACATTTTGGGCTTAGCTTAGCTTAGACTGCTATTTTTGGGTAGCCTACTATAGAAAGTCAGTTTTGTGTGTGATAGTAGACTAAAGCTTTTTTACCAGTGATTAGTGGATACGGCAAAAATGTAGTTTACATAGGTTGTTGTCATCAAGGAGGGTAAAAATTCGATATTCAGTTACATTTTGTTCAAGGGACTTCTGTAAATGAAAATAAAAAGGTTATCAGCCTTTTAGATTCTTTGTTCATATGCGAAAGTCTGAAATTCTTGGCAGTCTTTGCTGATTTTCAAGTTAAGTCACAATTTGTGAATTAGGCCCCTGCATTTCTGACACTTTTATCATGCCTACCACAGTTCTCACTATCAACGCTCCTCACACAGGTCAACTATCATCCTACATGGCAAAAACCATTAAGCTACAGCTTGACATTTATTTATGATCATGACATCAATGATAATTATATGTATGCAGTGAGATATTCATCAAAACAATGGATGTTGCGCATAGGGAAAAGAATTTTTTTCCTTATTCTAGCATGATTGTACGTGGTCCAGATTATCAAATATAAAGTTTTGCTTAATAGACCGTCATACATGTTACCCTGAAATGGCATTAAGAAAGCTTTAAGTAGATGTACAGAATGGTTTAATATATCTTTTATATCTATATACTATTTAAATGCAAGGTAAGAAAAAAAGATCCTGTTTGCATAGAATGAGGTGCTTGTTGTGTATCTGCAATATGCATATCGCATATTCATACTTTATAATTCAGAAAAGATACCTTGCTTCCGTGTGGCTATATTGAAAAGTGAACTGCTAGTATGTAATATTCCTGAACCTGTGTATAATATGTTAATAAGATAATATTAAATAAATCGACCTTGACCTTTGCATGTTACCCAGGAGATGGCCTTGACCCTTTATGTATATGCCAAGCTATGAGCCTGGTTATAAATTTCAGATATGTTCAAATTTTGTCAGTTTTGGTCTCTCATCCTGTAGAACAACTTTTTTCAGCTTCCTCAGAGTTTCAAGAAAAGTGACGGGACCATTAAGTCTTTCAAGATTAAGAAAGCTTCGGTAGGGTGGCATCTTCTCACATAATATATGTGTTTAAGGGCACTTCAAGGGTTGTATGGATTGCTTTAATGCATGTGGGACTTGTGAGGCCTAAATAGGAATGGGCTAACTAAAATTGTTTCAGGACTAATTCAAGGAAGTAGACAGTTTGCTCTCATTGGTTCTGTAATTATGGATATGGGCAATAATTATTTCTACTTTTTTCTTAGAACCTAAAGTCTTGTGTATAACATTGTTTCATAATATTGATTTCTAAGTTATGAAAAGTAAATTGGCTTTGCATCTGATTCAGAAGTACATTGAGTGTCTGAAAATGGTAAATCTTGAAAAAGTAAGAGAAAAGTAAGAAAAAGTATGGTGTTATATGAAGTATAGCAATACAGCCTATTTGGTGGGAACGAGACATGAGATTGCAATCAAATTATTGTCTGCTTCCTGGCATTAGACTGACAACAGTTTTAGCATTCATTACCAGTTGATCCACAGACTAACTAGTCCGTGGATCAAATATGGCCAACCCACTTAAGAGTTTGCCACATAATCCCCCAATAGACACTGAATAGATTCCCTCTGCAGGGGTGGATTTAGGCCGTCTTCTGGGTCTTTTGGAAGATGGTCAAATTTTCAAATTTACATGGACGGGTATCTAATTTTTCTCTGTCGGAAGAGGGTCAAAAATGGAGGATGGATCAACAAAGATAATTTGGAAGACTGTCAGAAAATATCTCTGGATCCGCCCCTGCTCTGGGATTACAAAGCAAGTTTTCAGCCGAGCTTTTAAGTGGGTCGGCCATATTTGATGTGCAGACTAGTTAGTCCAGGGATCATCTGGTTGTGAATGCTCTGTTAAGCCAATGTGTTCCTGGTTGAGACCTGAAACTGATCAGCAATCATGCCAATGCTCCAGGAGCAGGTGGTCACACACACTCCAATTATTGAATTGTTGTAGTGCAACAACACCATTTTTACCACTTCTCATATCTGGGTATGTCTGAGAACTTGTGGTCAAAATATCCACACTTTTTCATTTCTTGAACCTATCTAGGTGTTATGAATATAGTACAGTCCCAAGGGCTTGGATTGATTTCTATTTGTCCTATTTATTATTATTATAAAATATTCTGTTTCATTTTTTTTTTTTTTTTTTGCTAAAGTAAAAAGTGTACTTGTAATTATTTTATTCACCAGAGAGTTACACACAGGATATGTTATGGTATTACATAAGCAGATAAACACAAACCCATGCATGGGCTACAGGGACTGTGGGCTATAAGTTATGGATACAGAAAAAACCTCTTGAAAAGAAGATAGGCATTCAGGAATTCTGTATATTAAACATATTGAATAATTGCATCATTTTTGATATAATGTGATGGGGATTTAGAATTGGTCTTAAAGTTGAAGAAATTATGAAGGGCTGTCATTTGATGATGTTTTTTCACTTTTTTATTATGTCATATACATCATTATTAGATGTAGTGGTAACTTGTAGAGTTTTGTGTTTTCAGCCTTCAAAGGAGAGGGAGTTTGCCAGCCAAAAAATTAATACCACACTCAAGATGTACGAGCAGGCGATGCAAGATTACGAGGTAAGAACCCAGCATGTACACCAGTTTACTGGGATTTTCTTTGCAGTTCAACAGGCAGTTGATACAGTCACAGTCTACTTCTGGGGCCGCTGTACCTTTGACTTCATCATTATCGTGTTCTGCGGAAATTGTACAAGTCTTGTAACATTGCAGTTCTGAAAATGTTATTTATAGAACTGTTGTCGTTTTTTTTTTTTTTTTTTCTTGTTTTGTGAGATATATAGTACCATTCCAAGTCAGGACACACCCATTATTGAAGGTCAGTCAGAGACTGAAAACAATTTTATGAAAACTATATTGGTAAAAAATTGAATGATTGGAAGTATCAGTTATTTTGTGCGGATTACTTTCTCTTGAATGGAATGTTCATATTTTCTAGATTGTCTTTTGAAAAAAGGCTAGACAAATCAGAAACCTAAAAGTCTGGTGGTTTTATAATAAAGTTTTTTTAGTTCTTTCACTATTTGATGAAAAGAACCTCCATTTTCTATCGCAACAATCTGCTCTGACTTGGAGATGAATCATACTTATTTAAAATAGTTTCAATTGAAAACATCACACATATTTTAAATTCATTGGAAACCCTGTTGTGTGATGTATAAATAAGACCATTCTAATGTACAAACTGTTTTGTTTTTGGCAGAGATTAAAGGATCAATATAGCAAAAATCCCACAGAAAAACTCCTGTCACAGATAGCCGACTATGAGCGGATGGTGCGGCAACTGGAGAACCAGCTCAAGAACCTGGGGGTATCTCCACAAGACTCTAGGAATGCAGGAACACAGAGTCAGGTAGTAACTATAATAAAGAGTGATTTATTGTAATGAAACAGTGGAAGAGTGTAGGGTGGCTTGTCTTGGTGTGGCCTGATCATGCGATCAAAAATAGAAGAAATAAGTGGTTTTGACTTGTCATATTTGGGGTTTTTGAAATATTGCAGGTGGTTTAGGTTTATGTGAACTCTCAAAAGTAGTATGAGCTTAATTTGAGGTTTTTTAATGTTGTATGATAGTATTATCTGGAGAAATTCAAAAACTTTGGTGTCCCCCAGTAAGATTTGAAAATGTTAGAACAGACTGTCAGCTGTAGTTAGTGGATTGGTTTTTAATGTCAAAAAAATAGACTTAATGATGATTAAAAAAATTCCAGTCACAGACACATATCTGTTACCACAAATGTTAAAGTGGGAATTATTGCAGAAATGGGGAATTATGAAATGTGATTTAAATTGATGCCTTATCATTTGATAGAAAATTCCCAGAAATAGTCCCTGTAATTGCATGATTTCAGAATTGTTATAATTAAGCGTTGTGTATCAGAAGCTGGTTTCACAAAATAACTGAAGCCTGAAAACTGGTCTTAACTTTCAGACCAATAATTTGGTCTAGTTCAGTTTAAGGTAAATCAATTTTAATCCAATTCCCTCTTTTGTCGGACCTATTTATTGCCGCTGTTTGTCAAATTTTGTCAAGTTGTATGCCATGTTCAGTTAGAAATTGTAAACATGTATGATCTATTCATATAGCATGGCACTAGTCTAGCCAGGACAAGTGAATGGTATATGCACTCCATTGATCTGTCCCAGATTATCTGTGCACGATAGAGAGGGTTTTGTGCCGTATCCAGATCCAAGCGTCATAAACCTGGAGATAGTTAAGTGTTTCATTATCAGCAGCAGGGAAATACACATTTCTTATCTATGCAGTTTTCTATTGGTTTTCTGACTGTGTCCAAGTATGCTTCCTTGGACAAGATCTCCACTCCAACAGTCATAAATATTGTTTCCTTATCTCTCCAGGGTTCTCCTCCATCTACGATCCACCCAGACCGAGGCGACAGAGCCGAGATGATCAAGTCCGACTCCAAGTACGACAGCGAAGATTCTTTAGAAAATTTTGCCGATGACAGCTCTTATGACTCTCATTCCTACCCCAGCAGTAAGGGGAAAAATGTAGCACCTTGGGTAAGTTGTAAAGGCAATCAGAATTGGTCTTCCATCAAGATTTATGGCTTTGTGAGACGGGCTTTGGTTGGATGAATTGTGAAGCTGGGCATGACTGGATTTTAAATGGCAGCTTTCATGTTGAAAAAAAAAACCTTTGCTTGGAATGTAGAATCTGTCCTAATCCAGAATTATTTTCTCCATAGATTTGTTTAACCAGTGTGTGTTAGATAATGTTGAATGTAGTTAGTGTTTACACTGATTACTGAAGTAGTATCCATAAACTCCAAGGCAGGAAGTGCATGTGTAATTGTCAAGTTTCTACCAGAAAAGGAAAAGAAGTTTTACTAGAGTTGCATAGTAAATGCATATCCTCATGGTAGGCTGTCCGCCTAGATATTCGGAATTTGTCGAACATGTAGAATGAAAGTTATAGGCTTTGAAATGCTTTCAAATTGTAGAATTAGCTGTTTCTGTTACATATGCATGCAGAACCGTGTTTACCAGCGCCCTCTTTCTCTCTCTCTTGTAGTTGGGCCCTGGTGGTCCGAGACACTTTAAATCTGGCTCCATGCCAGACTCATTTTACCAATCAGAGGAAAGGTATACACGAGATATCAATATAGAACGTTCAAAGTCGGATGCAGATGCCAGAGCACGGCAGCTTACTTCATCAGATACTTACCCTCTTATGGGCAAAGGAAGAATGGACTCGGCGGTAGGTTATGCTACTCTGGCACTTCCCAAGCACTCAATTTACATCAAATTTGTCTAGGGGCTCGATGAACTTTTTAGCATTTGATGTAAAGAAAGCAATGTATCAAGGCAATATAGTCCTTATAGTGGAGTGAAACAGCGCACAATTTATCATTTAGCTGAAGAGTTAACTACTTTCTCTGTTAACCTGCACTGAGCTAGTACAAAATGCCAAGATACATATTGCCTATTGCATTAGGTGTTCTCCTTATACAAATCCATCCTGGCTTCCTGTCCACCTGCAGCAATCCCACAAACAGAACTGCTCCTTTGGGAAAAGCAATACACTTTTCAGCAGCAGTAGAGAAATTATCACTGTTAAAATGCTTCTAAATCCCTATTTTACACACTTTGGAAAATATGCTTAATTGATGTAGAGTATTTAACCTGAGGAAAATATTCTGTACCTGTGTGCTTGCTGCAAGAAATGTATTGCATTATTCATTTTTATGTCCAAATAGCCTTTGTAACCAAAACGAACCTTAACAGATGAAGCATGTGTGTGTGTGTGCGTGCGCGCGCGTGCACGCGTGTGTGTGCAAAGATGCACATACGGGTGCATGCATGTGTAAGAGAGATATGAAAGATGAATGTGTGTGTGCATGTGTATGTGTGTAAAGTTAAAAGAGAAAGGTTCATTTTGGTTCTCTATGTATCCTGGACCCATAGATCAACCTGGAATGTTTTGTTTTAATGCTGGCACATCTAGGCGGACCTGCGACGTAGGGTGATGAGAAAGGTAAACGCATCAGCTTCCTAATTTCCCCCATAGTGTTTACATCGTGTTACGTCCCCTTGTGTGTGTATAATACCCTGCATTCTGACCAGAGCTGTTTGAGACTAGACTTATGTTTGTATTTTCATCACTGGGTGACTGAGGGTCTCTGTCACAAATACGACTAAGTCCTTTTCCCATCGAGAGAGGCAGCTTTCTGTACCACACTGGTTTGACTGATACTAACATGCAATTACTCTATGGGAGGGGGTTTCCTTTTCACAAGCCCCAGTGTACCTACCTATCAAGAGAAATCTGGTTAACTGGGCTTGTGGAAGGTAAATGACTCTTTTGTTATCAGTTTCTCCAACCGTAGGGGTACTAGAAAACTGGACCACTCGATATGAAGGGGGATAAAGCCTTGGTGAGCTCTCCACTCTTGTCATGCTGGTTTGATCTGGAAATATTTGTTAGAAGTGCAAGATTAAAATTTGTGAACAATATTGTTGTGTATTAAAACGCAAGTAAAATGTGTAAATAATATTCTTATATTTTTAATATTATGAGAAAAATTGGTGAACAAAGATGACTATTAGCTAACCAAGGCTTTTATTTTAAACAATGGACCCAAATAGTTAACTGGTCATGTGGTGATGAAGATGTAGAGTTCTCAGGTCTTCAGTTGACTGATTTTCTCCAGCCTTCATGGAAGAATCATGGGAGACTTGATGATGCCATGATTAACATTATTATTAGCTGTTTGTTTTCTCTCACTCACAGTGTGTGGTAGAGATAATAAAGCATGCCCCTTTGATTAGAAATATTGCAAGATGCAAGATTGTCTCACTGCCTGCTGAGAGAAAGTCCCCTGTAATTTTTTTTTTTTTTTTTTTTTTTTTTTTTTTTTTTTTTTTTTTTTTTTTTTGTGGAGCAAATTAGCACTCCTTTATTTAAAGGTTGAGTAGGTTTTCCCTGTAAGATAGTATTTCTTATTTAAGTAATACTATTTATTTTTCATTCATATATTTATTCATTTAATATTCATGATTTATCACTGCGTTAACTGTAGCAGAACTATTAAAACTGGAAGATTGATCAGAATTTGCTGGAAGAGGATATTTGACTTGAATTTTGTTGTCAATGGAAATGAAACTATCCACTGTTGTAGCTCAAGATTGATGCCTCATGCATGAATGGCAAACTGGGCATTTTTTTTTTTTTTTTTAACAACTCAGTTCGATGAAATATAATGATGGTGATAATTTATAGTAAAAAAAGTCTTCTGCAGAGAAAAAAATATCCTCCTAAAGTATTTTTTACTTTAAGTTTGATATGTAATTTGTTGGAATGGTTTGGCACAAATTCTGTGCATTTTTCATGTGTAGGAATTATGCTAGGAGTGTTTTGAGTTTGCATTCTCTTCTAGAGGTGCCTTTCTATATCTGTGTCACAGGTCTAACATCTAATTAAAATAATAACAATTAGTCTGTTATAACAGTCTCAAGTAATTGGCTTCTGGTGAATGTAAAGAGTAACAAATACAACCAATTGGGTTATTCACAAGTTTTTTAAACCATGGATTTACAGGGTGTAAAATAAATCATTCACACACACACACACACACACACACACACACACACACACACACACACACACACACCTGTTGAACATTGGGTTGCTTGTTGGTTCCCTGGATATCTAGGTGGTACCCTGGGTTTCAGAGCCAGTCAGCCAGCTTCTTCATTTTCAAATTCCCATACATCCACATATGCTGACTTAATTCTTGCGTCTAAATTTTTACAGTACAGTATTTGATTGAACTTTACCATGCCAATCACAAATGTTATGATACTATATCAGGAAATCCTGATGATTGGATGTTTGTTTGGAGTTGGCACAGTAAACTGCAATCAAACCTGAGGAATGCCAGGGTCAAATAAGGAGATTTGAAAATGAAGAAGCTGGCTTGCCTTGGGCAGGTTTCACAAAAGGACTTTTGCCAGAAAATTGGTCTAAACTTTAAGACCAACATTTTAGACTACTTTGACCCCAGATGAAGCACTGATAATTCAGTTAAGTGGAATGTTGTACCTTCTTTATAACAAAAAAAAAGGACAATGTATCTTTCAGAGAAATACTGATTTGATTTAAGTGGACAGTTATGTCTTTATCTTGATAATTGGTTACAAAGTTTAGACCAATTTTTGGACTGAAGATCTTTTATGAAACCTGATGCTAAAAATCATGATCAATGGGTGGCTAATTGTCATCAGGATAATGAAGGTCACAAGGTAATAAGGGTAATGAAGGTCACAAGGTAATAAGGGTAATGAAGGTCACAAGGTAATAAGGGTAATGAAGGTCACAAGGTAATAAGGGTAATGAAGGTCATCAGGGTACCAGTTGGTAAAGGATCTCATAAAGTAACCCCTGTACCAGACGATAAACTGATTGCATATTTTCATATCAGCAATTGGTTTATATCCCACAGAAACAGAAATTATCATTGTTGAAGTTCTTTGTCACTTTAAGTGTTATATATTGGTTTTGTACTGTGACATTTTACTTATCCAGTATTGTATTGTGTTTTGTACCATATATTATATTATATTATATTATATTATATTATATTATATTATATTATATTATATTATATTATATTATATTATATTATATTATATTATATTATATTATATTATATTATATTTCAGTCCATCTCCCTGCCCCTAAGTACAGATGAGGGAGGGGGTGGGCTGTCAGACAGGGACTCCATAGAGAGCCCCTCTACCTCCCCTACCCCCTCTCACCCACGGAACCGGGCCTGGGGAGAGTCCATGGACCAGTCGGATACCAATGATGGGGATACCACTTCCACTGGAGAGGTAGGGGTTCACTCTCAATGTATCATTATTGTACCACCAGCCTGAGTGCTTGGGATAATAAAGTAACCATTTTTGGTGAAATGAGCAATTTCTTGATTAGTATTATTATAAATCTGATTATCAGGCACAATATATTTTGTTTGGTTTAGTATTGTTGGTCTGTAGCCCCTTTTTGAAGCAGGCTCAGGCTATGAACTTTTTTATACAGAGAGATATATAGAGGAAGGAACTGAATTCAATTTATTGGCTTAAGTGCATATGTAATCATCTTATGTTGCGACACAGATCTGGTAATATAAGCATCCAAGTGCCTCTGTGGTTTTACTGGATATTACCTGCAGCAGAATTAACTGCACAAACCAGTCTCTAACACATTCAGATTTATAGCATCACCCTGCCATTTGGCCTTGATTGAAAGGAATAAACATTTGACGTAAATCCCCTTTAAGTGGCATTTCAAACTGCGCTTGGCTGCAAGAAGAGGAAATGAAGCTTACTAATTTCTAGCACCAGCTGGAGCGTGTGTGACCAGGGCACTGGGTTTGTGGGTGGTGCATCTTGGGCACCTGAAGTCTGGGGCCTCCTGGTTGGTGGATTTGGTCTTGGTGCTGCCATCTGTTGACAGGGGTCACGTGATTGGTTTATCTTTTACCAGTGGTGCCATCTGTGGGGAAAAATGACAGAGAATCTGGTGTGAATGGATTATGTATAAGTTACGACCTCTTTAGATGTATTGGCATAAAGATCCTTTAACTGAGGGTCTTGGGACACTTTTATTAAAAGACTCCGTTAAAAAGGATGATAAACAGAGATTTTCTTTTGAATATCTTATGTCTCTGTATGCATTCGATTTGGCCTGAGCTGGGTGAATTGAAATCCAGTAGTGGTTTATGTAGTGCCCTGTAAGTATCTGAAATGATAGATAGACAGGAAACATGGGGGCCATTTCCTCCTACATGTAGGAAAGTCAAAGACTAAGGCTCGTACAAGTATGTAGGGCGAGTTAGTTAAATCAAGATGGACACACCCATGTGCACAGATATATGCACGGTGAGATGCACGCGCATACACACACATGCACCAATAGAGTTGGCAGGATATGCATGCTATATTACGGAATGGCAGTAGGGTTGGAATAGGAGAAGTGTGAAATTAGGACAGCATTGTCCATTGCATCTTTTCCCCTCTTTCTCTCTACAAGGAACCTTTGTTTTGATTTAAAAAAAAACATGAACACATGTCAAAGTATTCCAATTGATAGATGTACATTGGGGAAGAAATCTCGTCTCATTTGCTCCTATCTTTGTGACTTGCACATATGATATATGAGTTTTATGGGCGTGTGATACAAGCTAGATAAGTAAAATATATTGTTTCTTGTATGAAGTAAGGTGGAAGATAGATGCAATAGATTGATATCCGGTTCTTTATGATCTCATTAAGAACGTTGGAAAATTGCCACACCGTGAACTATTGAAGGCAATAACTTAGAGCCATTGCTTGTTCTTATATTAATAGCACATAGGCATATAATCTAATCAGGGACTTGAAAGATGTGATGCATGGAAAGAGAAAGGTTGTAAAATACCCAATTCCCCCCCCCTCCCCCCAACCCTTCTTTTTATCGATTTTGTTTTGAGCAAATGATAACACAACCAGAGCTGTACAAAGTGTAACAGAATCAAGAAAACAGGAAGGAATCTCTAAAAAGAAACTCAGAAAAGTGATGTGATATCAAATAAGTTACAGCTGAGGCTCTGGCAGCCTATTGATTGGATCTTAATTACTGCTGCTTATAATGGGCTGCTATCAAAGGAATTCTCAGTTTCATTAATAGGCCTAATGTTTAAACCTGTCAAAGCACAGAGACACAATAGACGGAGATGTTCCAGGGATCCAATAAGGTTCCAGGGGTTTCAATTATACTTTCTTGCCAAGCTGTCTCTATTGTATCATGATAAGGGGAATGGGGAAAAAAAGCATAACGATAATTATGTTATGTGTATAGATGGGGAAAAATCGTTTTATTCTGTTCAGAAGGTGTTTTTCAGTATTATTATTATCATAAAAGATTGTCTAATGATGAAACCCCAGACATACATAGCACTTATTGCTTGTAAACTGATTACATGAAATAATATTGAAAATACAGGCATATTTATTTATTTATTTATTTATTTATTTATCTTTCATGACCAGAAAATGTACATGGCTTTAGATTTGTCAGTTTGCTTAAAAAAGAGTGCTTCACTAACTCTGCTTGGAAATGAAGTTGGATAATGTTCTTTTAGCTTGTTCACCATTCCTTTGGCACAACAACTTGTAGAATTCTTCCAGTGAACATCTTCAGCATTTTGAAAAAGCGTTTATTTACTAAGACTTAGTGATCTTAAAAGTTAGACAAGCAAATCAGTTTTGTTAATCTGCAAAGTGAAAAGGTTTCAGCAGGCAAGCCAGGTTTTATTTTAAAAGGTTGGCAGGCAATAGAAAGTAGAAAGCATCACCCTCCAGTCAGTTTCCACTAGGAGTATTTCAGACTGGACAATGTCCCAACTAATACCCTAAGTCAACCAGATGGATTAAACATGAATCCATAGGTCTGATATGCACCATTGCCTCTCTGTTCAGACTATGAGTTTTTAAAGAGAGACTTGTGCCAATTTTTAGAATTCCTTGTTATTGACATATGTTCATCTGATAACACCAGATAGCGTGTTTACCAGTCCAAAATTGTCCATGTCTGAACTGATTCGGCTACTACCATGAAAAAAGCAACCGTTGCACAGTAATGTGATTAAGCAGGAGGAAGTCGCCCATAGTTATGGCAGTGGAGGCACCAAGGTAGTTGCACAGGAATTAGAGTGCAATGCATTTTACAGAGAAGATTAGCCACTATCCAGGTGTAAATTATTTCAGTTCTGCACCCCATTTTTCTGGAACACTAGTTAAGGAAGGAGTTTTACATCTTGCTGTGCTACATTACCCCCTCCAAAACAAAATAATAAAATAAAAATAAATAAACATGCCTATGTTGAATCCCAAGGTCTAACCTAGCAACCACCAGGAAACCTGGTGTAAATTATTTCAGTTCTTTATTCCAATTTTCTGGAACATGGTGAGTGTTACCTGTAGCTATGCCCCTCCCCTCAGTAGATACTTTCATCTCGGTGATATGATGGTACAACTCTTTCAGCTTTGCACCATCAAATATTCTCTCTGATTTATGGGTCAGTGTATGTATTTTTCTCTTTTTATATTTTATTTATATTTTTTCATTCATATTTTGCGTTATGTTTTAAGATAAATTATATTTTACACAAAAAGGAAAAGAAAAAGAAGAATGCTGAAGCAACTCTTACTAATCTTAACAGAAGTGGATAGTTGTTGAAGAGAAGAAACATTTTTGCACTGTTACTGTGATTGTGACTGACTCTCTCTCTCTCTCAATAACAATACAGCAAAATTTTCTGTCATAACTACTCATAAGCATATCTTGTCCGATCTCTAAAATCTCATGAGATTACACCATAACTTTTCTTCACACTATAATTTTCCTTTAATTTGACCAAATATAATGGAACAGAAAGTCAGAGAAGGTGAACTGTTCCTGTCTTCGCTGTAACTTCACTGTAACTTTGCTGTAACTTCGCTGTAACTCTCTGCCAGACCAGTAGTTTAGTGCTCTGATTCTGTCCCTCTCCTACTGTGCCCTGATCATGTATAGTAATATACAGCTCCTGTGTCAGTTGCCGTAGAAACCACCAGCTATTTTGGTACCACTGCGGTCTGCAAAAGTTCCCTCTGCTGGAGGAAAGATGGATGCCCTGCCAGATATTTTCTCAATGAAATTGTTTAAAGGAATGTTGATATGTGCTCTTTGATGCATTACGGTGATTTTACTGTGATTTGTATGGACTCTACTCGACTTGGTGCAGTGAAAAGAAGATAAAACATGTAAATACCTGTTTATAAACAGACTAATTTCTTCGACATATTTTTTCCAAGTTTTTACTGATGTCAAATTGAAGTTAACGTGAAGAAGACCAAGATTTTCCTAAACATATTTTACTCTCCATATTTTTTATATTGTTGCAAAATAACTCAGTTTACAGGATCAGTGACTTTAGTCAACCAACCCGTTCTTCCTCAACATCGTGCCTGTAAATATCGTTAGAACTGCAATATTTTAGCTCATTTCAGATCAGATTTTGACTTGTTTGAATATGTGATTTGAGTTCTCTGTCATATTCCTCTTATTTAAACATCTTTGACTTGAAGGATCAGGTCAGAGATTGCCCAGATCAATAGCCAGTTGTCAGATAGAGCATCGCTTTGATAACATTTCAATTACGTGTCATAAACCATGTGTTAGGGGAGTACGTGACTGATGTCCTCTGGTGTTGGAAACAATATTTGTACTGAAACTCTGGGAGACTTGTTAATAATAATAATAATAATGATAATAGTAATATAACAAAAGCCAGTACAATTAAGTTTTTTGAGTAAGATGGACACAAACACAAATAAGCACACCTGACTTAAATTATCCTTCAAAAGGGCCATGATATCAATTTTATTTTAAAAAAGAAAATACATTATGTGAAACTATAGCCTACTCTACTGAAGAGGGACCCTCTTTCTGGCTGATGTGGAATTAATATCAAACAATGGGGTTTTCTGTCCTATAATTTACCACATTTATATTAATGAGAAGATTATTGGATGGTTATGAAACAAGGCACTCAAAGGGGGGGGGGTGAGATTGATGAACCATGCTGTGAGATGAAAACACCGAAAGAAACAGAGGATTTAGAAATTATCTTTATTTCTGTTTAATCGTATGATTATACAAAAAAAGAATTCACGAGATCAAATGTGGCTCATTAATGTTGGCTGAATGTTAAATACAAAATTAAAACCTAATGTCGGTCAAATTTTTCGATGAATTGTTGAAA